CGGTTCATCATTAGTACCAGAAATCCCCCTGGAAATGGATTCATGACTACTTTATGAAGTAAGTAAGTCCCTTATGAAGTAAGTAAGTCCCTTAAAGCTCATATCCTAATTCTCCCACTCTCCTATTGACTTGGCAGTTCAACTGATCCTGCTTTGGGTATCTCAAAGATTTTTGAAAGCATGGTGCACTTCTAATTTAGCAACACGCATGTAAGCACCACAGTATGAACTCCCATTTTAGCACCTGCTTCTAGAGCAATACTTTTCTATCACGAAGCTGGATTGCTTATTACAGTTCATTTGAGAAGGATATAAACTTTTTTTTAAACAATAGCGTTAATGTATATGTTTAATAGCACCTTGCATGCTGATGGCCAAATTAATGCTCACATAACTTGATGGGGCAAATCAGGGATTGATTTGCTCTGCTGCTTCTAAGGACTTGCTTTTTCAATTATTTTTTCATTAGCACAGAATTTAATTTCATTACTCCACTTGCCTGTGTGGGAAGTAAATTCTTTTTATTTCCCATTTTGACTTTTTAAACTCAGCGTCTGACTGCTGAGCTTACAGCCCTGCATGTTCCCCACAGCAGCGTGAAAGCGTTCAATGCAGCGAACTTGATCCCTTGGGAATTTGGCTGTTCCTCATTAAAACTGAAAACACTGTAAAAGATTGCTATTTTAAAAATCAGAGGAACAAGGCCAAGTGGTTACCAACTTGATACTGCCAACTTATACTCACAGATTCAGCCTATTCCAGCTCTTTCCTCACATTAGAAATGAGCATCAGCACAAGAATTAGATTTTCTGACTCTCAGCCTTGGTTGGGACAACACGGGGTGTGGCAAAAAATGTTACACCTGGCTAAATGCAATTTCTCTCATTAGTCTTATTTGACACTTTACTCATGTGCAATCATTCTCATGGGTTGTTGCGTTACCTCCAAGGTTACTGGTGATCCATTCCTGTATTTGGGCTGTGGTTCTGTTGGGGTCAGTGAAGTTGGTTTGCTGCAGGCTGATGTTTGCCCAGCGTGCAGCATGTGCAGCAAAGCGGGGTGAGAGCTGCACACCTGCATCCACGAAGAAGGAACATGCCAGTTGAACCACCGTACCTTGGCTGGAATCGGTCTCTCCTTCGTACACCACGTGCAAGAAGTCCTGCACACTTCGATCTGCCAGGCAAGAGAGAAGGAAAAAGTGCAATTATTATTTTGAGGCTAAGGATAGCAGGGGTTGCACCAGGGCTCCCACAGCTCTCAACTCCAGTGCTGGCACTGGTGTCCTCTGAAAGTTAAAGCACTAAAACCACTGAAGCACCCCTGACTTTATGGGGTATTACTGTCAAGTGCTACTGTCAAGGACAGTGATTCATTTGTCACCGGAAAGCACTTTTCATGTTGCTGTAGAAATCACTGCAGTGCAGATATGTCAAGCAGCTGATTTCACATCAGGCTCATGCCTCTATGCAAACACAGCTCTTACAGTTCATAAGGAACATACTTTTCTTTTGGGAGCAATCTGGGTTCCCATTAATGAGACCCAGCACCTCTGGCCGAGCTGACGATGCTGCAGTACCATCATCTCCTTCTGTTACCGATGCCACCCAGTCCAGGAATGACATCTCCCCAGGTCTGTCTCTGCTACACTTGACCCTCAAGTGTTGTTTTGTTTCTTGAAGGATGGTGCTCCAAACTGTCCCAGTATGGCAGATGAGGCACAGCAATGCTAAATAGAGCTGATAGGTTGCTTCATGTGTGTTACAAGCAATTCTTTTTATAAAACCCACAGCAGTGTCTGCCTTTTTTTGAGGTACAATTATATTTCCCATTAGATATTATTTTTTTTAATTCCTAAGAAGTCTTCAGATCCTTGCCTAAAAACACTAACATTTGACTCATTTTCCCCTATTTTGAATGGCTGATTATTCCTTATAAATGTAGAATTTTGCACTTATCTCTACTGAATTGTGTCCTATTCACTTCACACATTTCTCTGATTTTCCAGGATCCTTTTACATTCTATTCTGGTCTTCCAAAATGCTTGCAGCAATTATGAGCTCAGAGTCATTAAAAAATTTAGTTATGTGCTCTCTAGTTTATTGTCTGCTAATGAAAGTAGTTGAATAGTGTCCCAGTCTCCTGTTCCTGGGGAGCTCATGGTAGTTCAATGGTGGTGGTTTCTGTGATGGTTGAGGTGTGGGCCCAACAGGAACATGAGTCCTGCAAACTTAGAGGATATTATATTTTTAAAATAACAAAGTTTCTAGTAGGCTTCCCTGAAGAGTAGCTGTGTGAAATCTCAACAGCTCATTGTTGTATATGAATTGCTGTCCACCAGCTCCAAGGAGGGTCAGTGTTGTGCCCTTTGCTTCTCCAGGTTGCTGTACATGGCTCAAGTGCTCCTCTGCCTTGGCTTGGGACCCTGGGGTGCCCTGAGCAGCTCACAAGTATCTGTCTCCCCATGGTTATGGCTGGGCTTGCCATTATGGGCTGGCTAAAAATCTTTGGTTTGACTTAAGGGAGACCTTAGGTAAGGGGAGGTAATCACCCAGTTTCTCCAGACACTTGTGAGTGCAGGCAGTGCTGGAGAGAAGTCAGGCTGGGCTGCCACGTGGGACATGGGCAGAGTGGGATGGCTGACTGGAGAAGTCCATCCTGCCTGGACTGACCTGTCTCAGGGTGAGCATCAGGTCAAGGGCAAGATGGACATGAGCCTCCAGCTGCCAGCCTGGTCATCAGGAGACTTTTACTGCATTGGTTCAGATTCTTGATGGGGTAAAGGGAGAGTTTCACGTCTACCAGTTTCTATCATGTGAGAATGCAGTACGTGTTTTCGGACCCAATAGTGCTTCTTTAATAACCTGCAGGAAGACTAATCACCTACAGGAAGTTTGGTATTAAAATTTAGATCTATTACTCTTTAAGGGATAAAATATTGAACTCCTTGAACAGATGTAAAGAAAACTCACCCGGTCTGAGGTATAAAGTGCTTTTCTTGTGTGTTTTGCATTAGTGTGGGAGCATTTGGCAAGCTGTCTGGAGGATGTGAGAAATCAAAGATGGTAAATTGGAAGCAGATGTTAATGTGACGTGTGGTATCCTGAGCTTGTAACTCCAGTCATATCAAAGTGCTTAGCTAACCAAAGTCCTGAATTCTTACTTGAAGAACAGTTCAAATCACTTTAAAATACTCCACCATTGATAGAAAAAAAAAACAGCAAGGAGAAAGCAATTGAAAGCATGTCATTTTGTCTGTGCTTTCAAGAGAGACATCCCTTTATACATTGTTTTTCCTAGTACTAGAATAAAGGTGAACAAATCTTCCAAACATCAAAAGACGATTACAAGTGCATGTAAGAGCGGATTCTCTGTGAATAGTGTATGAACCATCAATGTTTTCATTGTTTTCAGCCTCCTAAGGTTTTAACCACATCCTTCATTATTGTTTATGACAGACCAACAGAAATATTAATGCAAACATCTAATAGAAGAAAGAAATTTTATCAGATATGCATACATATGTGATTTGGTTTTACTCATCTGATAGGAAATTTGATTTAAGTATTTGATTTATTTATTCAGTTTAAACCATTTGAAGAAGTGGTTTCCTTCTCCATCACTGGAAATATGTTATTCTAACTGAGAGCAATAGATCCCATCCTACTTTATTTTCATATTCATGCATTAGTATTACTGAAAGCCAAAGCTCATGTGGCTTGTGCCACAGACAACTAAAATGGAGATAAAATGTTTGCTTGATATGATGTGCCACATGAGAAGTAAGGCAGCGCAAAAGAGCTGGCAGGTCATTAACAGCCTCTGCATTTCTCTTTGTTACATTTTGTGTGGAGATCTGTACCTGAATTTCACTGTGGAATATTATTCTTAAGGTTCTTTCTTAATAACTGAACCCCTAATGACGAGAAATGTCAAGTAAGATAAAATCCTTGTATGAATTAATGTTGTTGTTTAAAATTACCCTACTGAATTTACAGAAATGGGAGTCTTACAGCTTCCTTCATTATATCACCTGCTCATAATATAGCTGCAGTGTCCTTGTGTCAGTGCATGTAGCTGTGCCTGCATATATCAGCCAGAGTTAGCCCTTCCTGCTGTGTTGGTTTTGAATATCAATGCCACACAGATTGATAATGGTGACGAAGGCAGGTTACAGCACAGGGTGGTGAAATTGCTGTAGGTTTTATCTTTAGTCTTCATGAGCTGCACGTAAATTGTATGTAGAGAAATAGCAGTGTCATCTCTAAACATGTCTTGTATGTAAGCTGCAAATTTTGAAGATGTGGCAGTTATCTGCTTTTCATAAACATTGTGCCCATAATGTAAAATAGTTTTTGATGTGTGATGTGAGATGGTAGGATAATCCAGAGCTAGAATGAAAACAGCATCCTTAAATTCAGCTTAATGCTGGATTTTAAGACATCTGCCTTTTCCATATCCCTTCCAGATTCCCAGTGAGTTTTATTTTAGCCTGTTTTCAGGGGAAGATGCAGTTGTACCATCCATCTGTCAATGTATATCTCTCTCTGCCAATCTCCTTCTAACAACTTTTCATCTTTTTGGGCAGTTGTAGTAACATTAGAAAAAGGTGCAAAGTCTTAAAGATAATTTCTATAGGTTTCATAAAATTTGTTAATGGAATAGGAGAGAAAACATAAGCAGGATAGGAGAGAAAATGACTGTCCTCTGCCTGGCACCTCCTCGCAGAGGACACAGAGGAGACCAGGACACAACAGACATGATGAACCTCTGGGAAACCAGGGGCAATTCCGCTGTTCATGGAAGTAACTTTTCTAGATGTAGTTGTATTTCAGTGCAGTAAAAGAGTAAACACTGATCAAGAAAAAGGAGGAATAATAACATGCATATCGACTACTCCCTTGAGTTTCCTTTGTCCAGCTAACACCTGGCTATCAAAGATGGAGAAAACACTCCAAAGCTACATCTTACAGTGAGACAGAAGACAGAAGTTTAGTATGATGTGTGCAATTGCTGTCTCCTTAGTGAAGCTGTGAATTTATTGCAAAATGTAAGAAGTACTTTTTTTAAGCAACACATTACCATTAATGTTGTATCCTAGGGCATCCTGCAGCTCTGTAAAGGTATTTCCTTGTGCTCCAAACTGCAGCAGCTCTAAAGAAACAGCCACACTTGCTGGTGAGACTACCAGATTGGTTCTGTTCTCTGCTTCGGATACATGCCGATAGAGATTGATGGCAAATTCAGTCTTCAGCTCTTTCAGCTCATCATAGGAGATGCAGTTTCCTTTGGTTAAGCAGCAAGCAGACAGGGTAAATGCAGAGAAGAAAATGGGCAACATGAAGGCAAGCTGAAAACACTCTCCACCAGATAATCATACCTGCAATTAATAATACAGATATATTTAGAAAAGCAGTAGGCTGAGCTGACAGAGGAACTTTCTCTTTCCATCATTGTTAGGCTATCACTTGCAGCAGTAATGATCACTGTAAAAACACTTATCCAGGTCTACCCAGTAGCTATTGTCATTAAAAAAAAAAAAAAAAAGGTGTAGGGAGATGCTGATGACTCTGTTGACTAATAAGAATCAAGTTTTCCAGAATGCTGTACCTGTATAGGATGGTTGGCCATTACAGTGTGTGGAGACACAATGCCCTTTAGGTAGGTACCTGCACCCATGAAGGGACACCTTAGTGCAGTCTCCATGCTGCTGAGCACCCACAGCTCCTTTCTGTCCCCAGCAGAAAGAGAGTCACATCCAGCACTCCCAGAAGGAAGGCCACCCCTTGAGAGGTACAGGCATCTAAGTGAAGGCTCCAGGCTGGGCTTTAGATCCAAATTTGCAAAAGGCTGGCTTCAAATTTCCCCCCCAGATATTCCTTCTATTAAATTTATCCCAGTGCAAAAAGGTTGTATTTGCAAAAGGCTCCAGTGCTTGCAGCACAAAATCACTGCTTCAGATTTTTATGGGAAATGAAGCATCGGTCAACGTTATATTAAGAGAAACTTAGATTCATATTTAAAGGAATAATGCTAAAATGACAGAATAGCTTTCTGTACAAAATTTCGCCTTTTGAACACTGTCTGCAAGTATATTTTTAAAAATACTGCACCTTCTTTCACTTCAGGATTTCCTACAAATCTTTCTCCATGCCCTTTGCTCTAGAGAGCACCTCTAATGCCTTGTATTTACTCACAGTTAGCTCTGTTAAATTGTCTTGCCTTTCTGTGTCCTTCTGGATGTCTGAATGGAAGTTGTCTATGTACGTCTTGTCTCCTTCTTTAATAGGTAGTGGAGTAAAGACTAAGTCATGAGACTGCACTTAAAGGGATAGTCAGTGATCAGAGTCTCTGTCGGCGATGTCTGTACCACTCTGTCCAAATTCCTGTAGGCTACAAGCTCTATGGAGAGCCAGGGAAAGCAGCATGCCACTGACCAGCAAATCCAAGGCAAGGAACAAAAAGGTACACATGGAGGTACAGTCAGCAACTTCCTTGCAAGCCCTGCTTGAGCCTCATGAGACTTGTGACCTGCTGGTACCGAGCAAGGCATCTCCTATCTCTCTTCCCACCCCCCTCCTTCTTTTATATGAATTCCATTGATTCCTCTGCCACAAAGGGGAAGAAAAAGGGCTCTCTGTGTACCAGGCACACAGTTATTTTTTCCCCCCACTTTGAAACCTTTTTCAGAAATCCCATGCAATTAAAATGTCTTTATTTGACATTATTTATTTATTTTTTTAATGCCATCCCAAATAGCAAGATTTTCTTTCACTCTTTAGTTTCCAGGAGGAAAGAAACAACAAAGCGGTGCAATTGAAGGAGATCGAATGAGGAAGGGGTCACTTTGAATGAACCAGAAGCAGAAGAGCTGTGGTTGTGACCGCTTCAAAAGCAGTTTCAGCTGTTCAAGGCTTTCTTCATCTGACAGAATCAAATCCTGCCCATCATATTCACAAGTTCAGCCTCACAGCTTCGCAATGGCACCTAAGGCAAGTGAGGTTTTGGCTTAAAAATGTGTGTAAAACACCAGCTTACTGATCTCCATGGAGTTTGACATTATACATACACTTAGCTATTTTACAATATATGTTCCTGTTTGCAACTGGGAAAGAAAACAAGGGGGAAAAGGTCATTAAAATCAAGTAATTGTGTTTATGTGCTACTGCTTCATCTTTAGTGGGTAAGGAGCAGCCATGCAATTGAATTGAGCAAATGAGCATGCAGCAATGGACCTCCCTTTGTCTGCACTTGTGTGTTCCTCTCTTTCTGCTCTTTTGAGAAGATGACAGAATCGACACTGATACTAGGGTCTGTCTCAGGATCCTGGGATTTAGACCACATTCCCGCTAAGACGGATGAAGGGCAAGAGTTTGACCAGTCCCGTTCTAGTACAACAAGCAGGGATGTAGCTTTTGCCATGGATTTCAATGGCAGTATCCTCACGCTTAAAGTTACATTTGGGCTTAAGAGTTTTGCTGAATGAGGACCTCTGTGCTGAAGTTATCATTCATAGTGTCCACTGGACTGGAGACCTATTCAGAGAGAATGAAATGGAGGCCACCAAGTGATTTCTCAAAGAGCTCAGTAACTCTGGTCACTGGTGAGCACTGTACAGCTGGATTTGATGTGATGTTCCCAGAGGCTCCAGATCTGATAAGACATTTCTTCTGTGCTCTGCTTCATACTCTCCTGAGGATTTATTAAGATCTGGAGGAAATATAGGGAGCCCCTCAAAGTTTTAGCCATTGCTGTCGAAATTTGACATTCCATTCCCACCCAGCAAAAATGCTGTTATTCAGATTTAGGGTAAATATTTATGGAAGATGTAATTGAAAATTTGACCCAGTACAAATGGTGTAGGACAGCATTGTTTCTGTGGGAAAAGGGGAAAAAACCATTCTGGCTCATGTCTCATCACAGAGGGGATGTAGAAATTGGGATTTTTTTTCAAACCCTTCCTCTCTGCACCTGATTCAGGAAAGAAAAGCTGTGGAGGAATCTTTGCAGCAAAACCAGAGTTTGCAGACGAGGAGAGAGGACTTAAGAAAACTAAAAATGAATCAATGCTATTCCAAGCAGCCATAGGGAATAAGAAATGAGTTTTACATGTAATAAATAAAAAAGAAAATCCATTAGTGAATGATTAGAAGGATTAAAGGCAATAGAGTAAGAAAGAAGGCAAAGTCAGTAAAACTAGCTGTGGCTGAAAAACAAGTGATAAAATACTGGGGGAAGGGTATGAACATTTATTATGATCAAGGCCAGATCCAAAAATCTCATGCCTCTTCATTTTAACAGCCTAAGTTTTAAGTTTCTCTTCTCCAAAGCAACATCCAAAGCTGAGAACTGGATATCTGAGGAGAAGCTGGTGCCACATTGAGGCGAGTCTGAAACCTGAGCTTGCCAAGTGAGCCTGGGTAGCCAGAAGCCGAGCTGTCCCAGTGAGGATAGTTTGGGGCAAAACAAAAAGGCCAATTACAGAAATTCCAGGTCAAAAAGAGAGGTGTTCTAGACCTACAGAAGTGTTAGGATTGGGCTGTTTTGGAGAAAGGAAAATTCTGGCTCTTTTTCAGGATATTTTTTAAGTCTTTAAAGTTGCCTGTGTCCTAGTTTAGGCATCACATTCTTCTTTGGGTCTTAATCTGGATATGCATCACAAGGTACAGAGGAAAGTACTGATAAATTTGCTGTCAATCATTTTATTTTTAAAATGCTGGAAAAGATTTAAAAAGGAATCCAATTCATTGGTCCCCAAGATAACTCTTAAAAGACAGAAAGGGACAGAAGGAGAAGTTGTATTTTGAGAGATGCTTCTTGACATTGAGATAACTTAGACTGCCTCTGAGGGAAATGAGGAAAGGTACAAAATGAGGGCGTCTGGAGAAAATGCAGCACAGCGCTGTGTGGGTAGAAGGCTGGAGCACATGGTGCTGTTCCTCTGTGGAGTTCCTCTGGGCTTCTATAGGAGCAGCTCTGAGGTTTTCAGAGGGAGCTCAACCTCTCTGTCCCCTCGCTGAGCAGAGGAAACCACCACTCTTTGAGAAGAAAAACAGCAACATGCTTCCTGATGTGTGAGCAAGCCTCCAAACAGGGAGCAGAACTGGTGGGAAGCACTGGAGAGAAGCAGCAGGTGGTGGCTGCTTTCACAATGGATTAGATCCTGTCTGCATCTGTGGTGTGTCAACGCTGTTACCATATGGGCCCTTGATGTCCTCCTTTGTGACCATTGTGGTGAGCAAGGGGACAAACTGTGAAAAACACACAGGAGTAGAAAGCAGAGACTAAGGAAAGATAAATGGTCCAAGACAGCTGTTCTCCAGAACTTCATCTTCAAGGTCTTCATGGACTAGATTCTGCTTTCATGTACTGGAGTGTGAATGCAAACCATTGACATCAACTTGGGTGCTGGAGGAAATGAGGAGCTGCTGGGGGAGTATGGGCTGGGAGGCTCCGGGGGACAGGGTGCTCCCTGACTGGAAAACAGACTCAAGGGTGAGCCTCCATGATGGTGGCATTGGGGAGGGAGGTGAGGAGCTTGTTCAGCCCTGGAAGCAGCTAGAAGTCACACGATTGAAATGAGAAAGCAGAGGGAAAGGCACAGCCTACACAGGCACTGTGAGCAGAGGGAGATTTCTTGAGAAGCCTTTTTTCCCCCCAAATGTTTCTCCCAGGAGAACGGAGTTTTCTCTGGTTTATTAATATGTGTTCCATTAAAACCAAACCCTGATTTGGCATGACTGCTGAGAGGAAACAGGGAGCAGTTCTGCTTCCGGGCTCTGGCTAGTTTGGGCTCCTGTTGCGTGGACTTTACACAGAAATCCAGAGCAGAATTTAGCCCAGGGAAAGGCTGGAAGAGAAAAAGGTGAGAGGATCAGGTGAGAAACGAGTTTTTCTCTTCAAAACCCTCTTGTTTTCTTTCCTGTGTCAGGTCAGTCTCCAGCAATCTTCCTTTCGCTCGAGCACAACCCTGATATCAGCAGGATTACTGTACCTTTATCCCTTCATAAATGAGAACAGAATTTAAGCTTCTCTCTGCATCTGTTTTTTGTGTGCTTCCTCTCTTTAGGATATATAACCCTGGGGAAATTAAATTGAATCTAAACTGGCTTCCTTCCTGCTTACATCTCTCCTCCAGGAGGGAGCCTGCACTGCAAGATACCAACACATTTGCTCAATCAGGAAGAAGGTTCTGCTGAATTTCAGGATAAGAAAAATTTGCATCATCATTTCATATAGAGCTTATTCTGTGGGGAGGTGGTTGGCTGCAGAGCTGCGAAACACCC